GGGAAAACTGTTGATAAGGCAAAAGGCTCTGATAGAGTCCTTGAATGTCACCCAGCTCATCCTTTTATGAACATTTATTGAATGCTCTCTATATTCAAGGAGTGATAGCTCAGTCTAAACTTGATCCAAAAACCAGGGGAGAAATACAAGTACTTGATCCCAATGGGGGGAGATTGATGAAGCCTGATATATTTTTATGTGCAGCTAGGAAGGTATCATGGTGAGAGTGGTCTTCAGGAAGATTGAATAGAATGGAAAATAAGAAATGGGGGGAGTGATCAAAATTTATCAATAGGTTGTTTTACAATAATACTGTTTAGAGATAATGAGAGCCTAGACTAGGAAGAAAGAAAAGGTTAGGGTCAGACAGGGCATATTTGAAAGACATCATGAAGAAGAAATCAATATGCCCTACTAATAGATTAGATCAGAGAAATAGATTGGAAACAGTAGAACAGTTTGAGGATCAAGAAAATGGTGGTACCCATGGCAACAAGGGTAGGCCAGAAGGAAGCACCAATTTGGAAAGAATGTTTTGGCATTTTCCAGTTGGGTTTTAACTACAGTCTGGCAGAATATCTAGGTAAAGTTGTCCTGCAGGGAGTTGTCCATTTAAAAGCAGACCATGAATGAATTGGCATATCTAGAAACTTCGATCTTGATATCAGCAACACTACAATAAAAAATATTGAACTCTTAGCATCTATGAAGACTTCCAGTTAAAGACAGCTCGTTGACCATACAAGTTGGATTCAGTTATCACCAAAAAGAAATGAGCAACAGCGATTGTAAAAGGTCATAAACATGATATCAGGAGAGAAGAGAAGTAGAGACAACAAACAAAATCTTGAAACATGAAAACAGTCAACGTTAACTGCCTTAGCAGATGGAGAATGTTAAATCCTAATCTGGGGAAGGCAAACAACATCTTCATTTATGTCCTCAAGTCCCCAAAGGCCTGGAATTGGAAGAACAGGGTACCTAGGAAAGGGGTTTGTTTGGAGGGTGGGAATACAAGGTCAAAACCAGGAGGGCTCACAGGAAGTCTTTATGAAGTAATAGACCACAGGCCCCTCCTCCCACTCTTTACCTCAGGAGAAACATAAAGGGTTTTTCTCTGGAGAGAATAAAACAGAATATCTCTAGACTAGAAGATGAGGAAAAGGATTATGAAGGTCCAGTAAACAGGGAGGATTTGATATAAAGACCAAAATTCTAAGGGAAAATAATATCTATCTAAAATTCCAAACAAACTCTTTCCTAAGCATGAGAAGAGGAAAAAGACATTTTCATGCATGTAAATTATTTATATATATATATATGTCTAAAATGTATTACCTCCCATACTTTATCAAGCAGCTCCTGAAGAATGTGTCAAACTGAAATGAGAGAGAACAGGGAACGAGCACACAGAATAAGAGGTGAAAGGAATCTGCAGGCTGGAAGTCACAGGGAGATTCCTTTGATGCAGTTGGGCAGCATGCTTAGAAAACAAGTTGAGATTGGCACAGGTCAGAATATTCTTGGAGAGAGCCCTTCGGGAAGATGAGAGAAAGTTAACACTACTGAGAGAGAGTATGCAATAACTGAGATGGATATAATAGAAATTTAACAAACAAAAACATTTTGTCAGAAAAAAAGAAAGTTATAGCATAATACACAACTCATTTATGGACAATATATACATAATAGTATTCTAAGAACCATATTTGATCTAATTTTAATGTGATCATATTAGGAGGACAAAGGGACAAGAAATAGACATATTTTCTGGGAGACTGTATGTGAAAGATAGTTAAATCATTACCTTCTATAATTAATTGTAAGACAAACAGTAATTTTAAAAACTAAAAAATATTGAGTTCTAATTCAGAATGCTATTTAGAGATACTGGGGTAAATACCAAATAAATATCTAAAAGAGCTGAACATGTACCACAGTGTGCTAGGTAGAACAACGACCCTCCCCTGAAAGATGTCCAAGCTCTAATTCCTGGAGCCTGTGAACCTTATTTTCACAGCAAAAGGACTTTGCAAGTGTGACTTTGCAGATTTGACTAAGGTTAAAAACTGAAAACAAAGGCATTAGGAGGGTGAGCCCAGAGCAATCACTTGAATTCTTAAAAGTGGAAGAGAAAGGCAGTAGATGATGTCAATGAGATGGCTCCGTGAGAAAGAGCCAATGTCTTGCGCTGGTTCTGAGTTTTAGGAGACTTTATACACAGACTAGGTCTCAGGGCAGCCTCGGGCTGACAGCCAGCAACAGTCCGTCAACCGTTCGGAACCAAATTCCGCCAACCCCCGAATGAATATGGAAACAGATTCTCCCCTAGAGAGAATCAACCCTGCCAACACCTTGAGGTTAGCTCACTGAGACCCGCGTTACACTTCTGACCTACACAATTATAAGATAATAAATTTATGTTGTTTTAAGCCACTAAGTTTGTGGTAATCTCTTATGACAACAAAGGAAGACTAATACACATGAAAAATGAGAAATAATGGCAGGAGAGGAGAGACTGCAATTTTTCATAAGAAACTCTGAAGAAATATTTAACTCAGATTATGTTCATGTATAACCTTAATAAAAATTTTAAAAAATACAAAATCAATATAAGATATTGGGAGCTACTAAACCTAATACCATAATTCAAAATTTCAAAAACTTAGGATGAGCTGAAAAAGAAATGACAAGAAGCATGAGGGAAAGCTGAGTTTATATTATTGGAAATAGTTATAAATGGGTAGAAATCATACTTTATTGTAACTACAGATTTGTGTTTCAGTTTTGTTTAAATTGTGATAAATATTTATAAGCATTTATATAAGTTTTATAAATATGTATGTATGTTAGTTTGTGTTTTGCTATTTTTAAATAAGCTTTGTGGGAGACCCTGTTTCTAGGGAATGACACTCAAAGAAGTACCCAGGAGAAATAAGATCTTGAGTTCGGGCTTTACAAAGACGAACTTACTAAAATAGAAAAGACAAGAAACACTATGGCATGTACTGCTTTTTTTCTTTGATGATCTATCCACTGCCTTGAAATGAACTATTTTTCTTTTCTAAAAGAAAAAAAAAATCAGAAAAGAAACGGGAAAGTGAAGGAAGGAAGGGGAGAAAACAAAGTCAGATGAGGGAAGGACAAGATGAGACCCTCATGGTTTGGAGCTATAGCATGAGGGGATGAGAGCCAGAAAAGTAGACAGAGGAGGGACAGTGGAGGCAGGGGTAGGTGCATGGACTCCATATGAAGGAAGGTGAGCGTGTGACAGTTCTTTCATTCTTGGCACTGACAACGAGCTAAGCACTTTACTAGGCACTGAAGATGCAGAAAAAACAAACAGATGTCAAAACAAGCATTAGAGAAAAGAGGAAGACAGAGAACATCTGAGAACAAAATTCCGATGGTGCCATCCACTACCAGCCAAGCACAGCTAATTAATGACATCAGAAAGAACATTAGTATCTACCTTGGTTTGGTAACTGGGAAGAAAGAGGTCGTTAGGGACACTGAATCCTTCAGTCCAACTGTTCATCCAACTGTGTGCTCAGCAGGTGTATCTGAAGACTGACTGCATGGACAGATTACTCATTAGTGTCAGAAATTGGGAGGGGGAAGCCAGAAAAGTCATGGCTAAAAACATTCCCTCTGGCTCTAAAGGAGGCTGAGAGTGAATGCAGGAGCTCAGAGAAGGCAGAGGCATTCTCCAAGTCCCCGTCAACTATGCCGGAACCGTGCCACCATACCAAGCTCACAGAGCCCTTCTGCCCTGACTCAAGGGTTTTAACATCTACAAAGCCGGTGACATCACCTGTGGAGTGGTCACCTACAAAAATGAGGGCACATGGCTTATAGATCACACAGGGGACTCTGATGGAGCACGCGCGGCTTTGAAGCATTTGCTTTGCAATTTGAATCATAATCATGTTTTTTAAGTTTTTTTTTCCTAATATTTCATGTAAAGGCAGATTAGTAGTGAAAGGCACAAGTTTCTCTTGGTTCTTTTATGTTGTCTTGTAAATGTTGGGTCTTCAGAAGTTGTATTATTTTTGTCCCGGCTCTGGAGGCCTGCTGTTTCCTTAATTGATGTGGTAGCATTTGACTGGCTTTATTCCCATCATCACATAATCATTATTTTCCATATCTCAGTTGTTGCTCCATTTCATTAACTTTTTTCAGAAAATTGCTCCCCATTTATCTATTTATAGGTTTTGAATGCGTGTAGTCTTTGTCCAAAACCAGTATGATTTCCTTTATCTTCTTGCTTTTGATCTTTAATTTTTCTTTGTTCAGAATCAATCATTTTTCCCCTCGATACTTCCTTTGATATTCCTTTTTTCTACTGCTGCCACAGTAATTGGAATTTTCTTGAATTTGTACTTTTATTTAAAATCTTTTGCTCGTGGGTGGTCAGTCTGGGAGCTAGCTGTTCACAAATCTGAAGCTCCTAATCTAGTACTCCAGGCTCTCTTTGGCCCCTTCCTCCACCAAAATCAATCCCCTAAAAGCCTTCCTGAGTTTTCTCTTCTCTCCAAGTAGGTTTGATACCCTTTTGTTCGGTGTGTCTGCTTTTGTTTGCCCATCGTTCCCCTTTAACCATAGAATCTCCAAAATTTATCATCCTGGTCCTTTCGCTACATTTCAGTTTTATTCATTTTAACTCATTTTTTTCACATTTTCTTATTAACTCCCAGTACCGTTATTTACCTATGGACCTAAATTTTTTAGGTTGTCTATTTCTGCAGCGTCAACTCGTATGTAAAGATGACCTTCCATTGGCTCCGTGTCCTCATTGGTTTAATGTAATGTTTATTGTGCAGATCATTAAATCCGTTTTGGCTGATTGATTCTTTCTGGCATCTTTTATCCTCAGACTGAAGCCAAGAGGAAACTGTGCGGTAGAATTCGATGTGTTTGCATCTGTGGGATGCGCCAGTGAGCGGAGCGCGGCGTCTCGGCTCGGGGGAGCGTCGCCGGGTATCTCGCCATCGCCTCCGCGCTGCTCTCAGTGATGTACATTTAGATCCAGCCAAGCAAGGTAAGGCTGTGAATCTCCGGTTTCTCTGATTTCAAGATTTCACTAACTGTTTATGAAACCTTTTATCTAGTTAACTCAGCTGCTTGCTATTAAGATGTGTTATCTTCTTGGCTCAGAAATAAAAGTCCCAGGGTAAAGAAATAAAGAGGCCTGGTGCTCCCTGGTACTGAAGCCCCGCTTGGCTGTCCCTGGCTTAAGCTTCCTGGGGCTAAATTATCTATAACAGATCTTGTTTTAACAGGGCGAAATGTAAATTCTAAGGGGTGAGGAGGAGGTGCTTGCCTGAGCTCAAGAAGGCTGTGAATCTGGGAAATGGTAATGGAAAGAACAAGTAAAGCGATCTCTCAGCCTCTACAACTGAGGGTAGTTTTCCCTGGGGCGCTAATGGCTCTGGCATTCTTTATTAGCATTTATTGCACACTAGCTACCTATAGGTCCCCCTACTTAATTTGGAACCATAGGGTGCTGCTGGAGCTACACTGGCCAGTGGCCAATAGTCTTTTCCTATTTAAAGCAATGAGAATTGAACAACACTCAATTCTTTCCTGGTTCTGTGTTATCTGTGTTTTCCTAGACTTGGTTCTCGCCACCACGTGTACCATAACAACTAGCTTCCTTCAATTTTCTGTAATTGATATTCCTGGTGTTTTTCCATTCCTTCATGGGAATTTTTCCAATATTTACAGTGCTACACCAATCCTCTTAGATGATGTCATTGTCACTCTTCCAAGTCCCTGTCAATTATGCCAAAACTACTCCATGATACTAAGCTCACAGTGCACTAGTGCCTATAATTCAGTGGCACCATCTTGATGCCTGCTGTCTTTAGGGAGGGGACAGTAATGTCCCAGGCAAAGCCATTAGCTCCCATTGCTCCCACGGTTATCCGTATGTGCTGCTTCCAGAGGCCTGGGCCACGGCGGCTGTGACAGGTTCTGGGCACCGCTGCTCAAACTGGAGTGTGAGACTCTCAATGTGACAAAACCAGGTTCTGTCTTCTGGAACTCTCACTGTATTCCAGCTCATTCTCTATCCCACACCGAAGCAGAAAAGGGCCTCCACTCTCTCTGGAGTTGTGCTTTGTTATATGAGAATCAGAACATAGCTGCCTCGCCATACAGTCTTGTAGAGATTTCAGTGGAATTATTTTTCTTTGTTCATTATTTATTCCTTGTCTTTGTCATAGTTTATTCTTCCCAAAGAGTCCTGGGGTTAGGAGGTTACAGAAAAAGGTGAAGACCAAAAGCTGGATATGTCACCTACTTGCATTGACCCTCCCCCCTGGGCCTCCACCCACTGTCTTTGGAACATCCTTGTATACTCAGCTCTCACAAATTGTGTTCTCTTCCCAGGGAACTCATGCATAATTTGTACAATTAGATCTTCTTTGGCCCTGCCTAATGTGCTTGCCATTCTCACTTATGTGCATTTGAATCCTAGAGTGAATACAGCCCCTTGTTTTATTATGTAGGATGAAGAGACATTAGCACTTCTAGTCTTTCCCGTTTTTGTTTACCAGAATCCATTTTGTACACAGCTCTGCAGGTTAGAAGGTACTTTGACACCAATCATTTCATCAGTTTTGTTATAACTCTATGAGATACACATCACAGGTATTAATGTGTTTTAATCATGAAGGAACTAAGACCCATGAAGCTGCCCCTTGCCCAGCACTGTATGATAAATGAATTGCACAATCTGAACTGAGCTCAGCTATCTGTTAGTTCTTAAGACTTTACTATATGACACGGATCCTCAAAACTCTCTGATTTATTGTTAGCAGTGAAGTTTGGATAAGGATATGTTTAATTATAATTTATTAAAGAGTTTGAAATATTTGCAAAATTTGGCAAATATAAAATTTATTCGTAAACGAAGTTGAAAATCTGGCAAGAGATTATTTTCCTAGAATTCACTAGTAACCAATAAGCATGCTATGGTTTGAGCTAACACAAAGAAAAAAAAAAAAGTAAAATTGATTAATTTAAGTCTTACACAGATTTTTATCCAGAGGAACAGTCCTGCTTGCAGATATAAGAGTATTCAGTTCACAGAGCACAACTCAAGTCACCTCTTTGCCAGGCTCTGTGCTAAGGTGTGAGGAGGGATTACAGAGATGATTACAAAGTGGACCTTCATATTGAAAGGTTCACAGTCTGCTGGGAAAAATAAACCTCAGGCACAAATAACTATGAGATAGGTTGAATGTGATAAGAAACAGATAAAAAGCCATGCTAATCCAGGGGAGTAAGAAATGCCAGCAGTGTAAACATCCTTTAAAATGTAAATAACTTTCCTTTGCTAAGGGATAGGAACAAGGACCAAATCCATTTTATTAAATCAGATATACAGGAGTTGTCAAATGACTGCCAGGACCCCACCCGAGGTGCACTCAGGCAAGCCACCCAGGGTGTAGAGGAGCAGTCTGTCTTCCTTGATGTCAGCACAGATGGAAGCTTGGTTCTCCCTCTGTCATGGGTGTTTTGAAGGGATTGTATTGCATTGTTCATAATCGGGGTAAGAATTTAGAATCTTTGGTATTGACTGCTGGAAATCAGGCCACTGGGCTACGTGGGTGGCCTGACTCAGCCAGGTCCCTTCTGTCACAATTGATGTTTTCTCATTTCATTAGGGGGTATTAGATTTCCACCGGGCAGATTCGTATTACACCAAGGTGCACACAACCCGCTAATGATGATTGCAAATAAGAAAGCCGTGCACATCCATACAAATGGAGATTACACCTGCATCCTTGGAATATAGTTGTGATTACATTAAAGACACATTACAAGTCTGTCTCCTCTCATTTCATTTATTGTGTGTGTGAGCCGTGTTGGATCCCTTTATCTCCTATTAAATTGCTAACATTTCCTTTGGACTCAGATATGCCTTCTCTAGTACAAAACAGCAGCACACCCAACAGTTCCAGAGAGGAAGTGAAAGGGAAAACCACATCCACTTAAGCAAGTTTGTATATGGTGTAATAAGCACAAACATGCCTTTCCCAATTCCAAAATGTGAATTATAGACCTTATGCCTAGGATTTGCCTTCAATTTTCTTTTAAAAAGACCACGCCTGGCTGGCTCCTATCTCTGCATCTCATATTCACTCTCTCTTTTCTCTGAAGTGGCCAGGCGTACCCTCACTTCCACTTCATATGCAGAGATGTGACAGTGGTGGCCACCAGCACTCAGGGCTTCAGGGGCTACATGGATGTGTGTCAAACAAAGGCTACAGGGAACCACTCTCTTAAGATCATTGAAGTCCTTTTCTGGGAATCATAATCCATTATATTTTATATATCTACTAATTTTTAAATATTGAACATTGTCTATTTTTTTCCCTAAAAATTATCCCACACTTTCCATATATGTCTATTGTTATAACTTCTGAGTAGAGAGAGCTCATCATATTTCCCTCACTTTATAGGAGAGAAATAACACACCCCCCCACCGCATGTTTTTAAAGGTAGAGGGAGGGGCAATGTAACACAGTTGCTTAGTGGCAGAACTAGAGTCCACTTGGCCTCCTGTGTAGTTCTGTCCTCTCTGCCCTGGTTCTCTAAGCATCAGGGACACTGACTTCATACCAGGCATTGTGCTGGGTACTAGAATACCCAGGTGGGTGAGAGGTCTCAGTGTGTATATGGCTTTGCTATTCATATGGCAAGAAAAACACTGGCCTGGAGACTGGGGAATCTGAGCTGTAGTCCAGGCTCTGCCTCTGACAGCCATGATCACCTTGAGCAAGTACTTTAATATACCTGAGCAATAGTAACCCAGCCTCTGCCCATCTCTGGGTAAGTATGAGATTCAAAGGAGAACATACACAGAATGGAGCTTGGAAAGCAGGAATCCCTCTAAAAGTGAGTATCTGTTTATGCTATAGAGTATCCCTATAATCTGCAGTCACGGGGATATTTAGAGCTACCAGAAATCAAAATATGAGGCTGAACACAGAACATACAAGGCTTAGAAAGGACTCTACCAACACGTACGGCTTGAAGCATGGATTCGTTCGTCACTAATGGTGGTTCCTGAAACCTCTATGTGAGCTGATGCCTGTGATGAGTAGGGGGAGAAAATAATTCATCATGCAAATGCAGACAGGCATTAACTGAAAACGTCCTGGGCACATTGGCTCATACCGTCCGTGGGGCTCTAGATGTCTCAGATTCAGGCCAGGAAATTTGTTCTCTGTCATATCCCTGACAATCAATGTGCTTTCTCCCTAAGGCCACACCCTGTCACCTCTGCCAAGAACAGCCCCAACCCTTCTCTGACCCCCCCTGCCCTCCCCTCCCCTCCTGCCAGGGGGGTTCACAGAAACTCAGATCATCCTCCAGGTTTACGTGTCAATCCTTTTTGAGAAGACGATGCTCGTGGGGGTTGGCAAACGCTGAATTGCCAGGCACCATCCTATTTTCCTGCATGATTGTAGTCACTCTTATAAATTAAATATCTGCTCCATGGTCTAAATTAAATTCTGGATTTCAAAGTGCTTTATTTTTTTCAGCTTTATTCACAGTCAGTTTGCAAAGCCATAGATATACCGTCATTTCTATTTTCTGCCCAACCATAACCTGCTTTGCTTAGCTCTACCGCACCCTCAGCAGTACCGAGCAGACTAGTTTCTAGTCTCCCAGCCTCACTGGATCCCAAACTCATGAGCACCAGACTGAGGGTCACTGTAGTCTCCTTCCTGCCTGCCTGCAAGAGACCCAACAGCAGCCCCAGGGAATGAAAAAATAAATACAATTAAATTTGACTCCTCTGCCTGTCTTTTAAGACCATCATAAATTGTCATTGGTTAGTTACTAAGAAATAGGATCTAAAATATTTAAAGTAATTGATTTTTTTTTCCTGTGTAAACAACTTTAGAGATAAGCTAAGGGTTAGTGTATTATCCTTACATTTCCCTTCATATACACTGGGGAGAGAAGGGAGGGATGTTTGGGAAGATGCAGTTATAATCTTTCCCAGCCGAAATGCTTAATTACACTCAGGTCTTGAATCCCTAACTTAGCATATTTGGCCCATTCACTGCTCAATAAATATTAATTGGTGGAGATGGGTTATAATTTAGCATGTGGATAATATATAATTTACCTGTAGCCTATAATTATCTTAAATGTTTGAATAAAGAAATTGATTGGAGTGAAAAGAAAATAACTTATTTAACTTTAAAAATGTTGTTATGATCTAATTCTTCATAAAAATCACCCACCTTCAGACGGCATTTCATTTAGATTGGCAAAGCACCATATGCCATCTCCCAACTCCGGGAAGACAAGATTGCAGTTGGTACTGATCTCAGATTTATGCATGCTGTGATGTTCTCTCATGTATTAGAAATATTTTGTGATATCTTCCCAGCTCAAAATGGCTGCTTCCCATGAAAAACCATCTCCCCCATTTACTGAAACAAGCCCCAAGAGCCCACATTTGTGCTTTTTCTTTGTTTGCCTATTTGTTTTTTGACCTTGTCTTCTTGACTACAAATGAGTGGACCAGGGGTACATTATTTTTTCGTTATTATCTTTTTAAACATGTTTATTATTACTATTTACCAATGGGAAGAGGCAGTTAATCTACCCCAGGAGCCGATAGGAACAAGGGGAAGGAACAGAGTTAGTCAGCTCTTGGAGGTACACTCCTGACTTCAGCCAAACCGGTCTGATTCCTCCTCCTAGGGGTATGGAATTAGGATTCAGATTTAGCCAGTGCATTTCCTGTGCATGGCTGGAAGGGACAGGATATGCCTTGGGAAGTTGTTGAGCATCTATCTTTTTTTGCCCAATGTATATCTAGAGAAACAGAAGGAGTTAATCTCAGAGAGAGGAAGAATGAAGAAGAGAAAATGAGCAGAGAGGCAGAGACAAAGCAAAGAGAGTTCCTATGGCACTGTTTCTACTCCTTCCTTCCATGCCCTTAAGGGGCTCGGCGGCTCCGTGTCCTATGAGGTACACCAGCATCCACTTTGTTTCCACCCACCTCTGTTTTTCTCAATTTCGTTTTACCTAGTTTTTGTTTCCTGCAATCAAAAGACTCTCCTCTGTCACCGTTAAGAACCTTTAGCTCATTCAGATAAAAGCTACTAAATTCCTCAGCCCTCACCATATTTTCCCTAAGGAGACTCTGCAGTCTTTGCCCATTGCCTGCCCTCTAAACCCTATTTTTCAATGAATAAGCATCGAGCTTTATGTCTAACACTGAGAGCGCCCCTACTGGTGAAGAAGAGAACAAAATACGATCTTCATTCTCAGAGAGCCAAAAGCTGCTCCAGCCAAAATATGGGAGCAGAGTCAACTGAATGACAGCTGCCTCCGGAACTCATAGACCCCAATTTGCTGGTGGGAGGAGAGTTAAATAGTACAGTCAAGAGGGAACGAGACTATTTCTCCTTGAGCTCACTCACTTGCAAACATACACCTGCTGAGATATCTGTGTGCACATGAGCACACTACACACACAGGCACACAACTGAAAAGAAAGAGAAGCTCAGGGGCCAACCCAGTGCTTTCTCTGTGACATCCTTATTCTCCACATCCCTGGAGTCTTTCACACGGCTCCGGAAAACATTCAACCCAACCGGCCCTCCTATGGAGCTTGTAATCAAAATCGCCTTTCAGATCTGTCTTTCAGGGCTTCCTTGCTTTGCAGTTCTATTATTGTTTCATGAAACTTTAAAACTTTCCACCTTTCCTTCATTGTAGTCAACTTTAAATAAATTCAGAGTGTCACTTGTTAAAATAAATGACATTTAAACAACCTCAGCATGGTAACTCATTCCTCATTATCATAGAGAGCTTTTCTGAAAGGTCTATAGTACATTATCTCTACGAAATGGATTTTACCTTCAATATTAACCTCATTGCTCAGAGAGGACAGGTGCTAAGCACTCTGGTGAGAGGTGGCATAGAAATGCATAGGTAGATTGATAGAACTGAGCAAGTGACGATGAACTAAAACAAAAGCAGGGAAAAGGTTTAGGTTAAATATTAGGTAGCAAATCAGAGCTGCGAGAGAGCTGTAATGATAGAGCAAGCTGCCATGGGAGACTGAAGAACATTTTTATTATTTTAGCTACTCAAAGCTCACTGTGCCTGTGCCTCTGGCAAAAGGGAAGCCACCGGCAGGGTGGGGTGATAACCCCAGTGCACCTCACCCAAGCCCTAGGCTCCTGCTAGCCCAATGCCTTCATTTTAGAATTTGAGAAACTGAGGCCCAAAACAGATCTTGCCTGACTTTGAGGTGCACAGGGAGTAAGTAACATCCCCCTGGCTAGAGCTGAGGGCAGCAAACACAGTGCCTAGAGTCTGCCCTGGGAACCACAGAGGCCTCGTGGTTCTTTTGCTCATTCTCTCTGCCTCGCCAGCCACTTATTTCATTTCTTCCTCCTTTGGAGTATAGAACCAACTGAACCAACTACCTTGCCTGCCAAGGTGTTTTCTCTGCCTGCATATTCCCAGAATCATATGCATCCAGTGCAAAAGAAGTTTTTTTTCCTAGTAACCCATGGAACTAAGTGGTGCTCTGTTCTGGAGAGTGCTGCAAAACCATAGCCAGGATGAGGTGGCTACATTAGCACGTCCAGAGCTCGCAGAGGCCCGGGAATGCTGGTGATCATCTCAGTGGTGACCCACCGCCCCTCTGGAATCCAGATGTCAACCCATTGGACCCTCATGAGGACTAGAGTCTCCTCCACTCTGGCCAGGTGTGTGTGCTTGGTGACGCTTCTAAATAAGCCCTCCTAGCACCTGTGCCATGTGCCCAACCCTGAGCGTGAGCTGG